GAAGGGTTATCTCTAGGAAGGACCACCCTTTAAAAACAAGATATTTAGAGTTATTGTTACAGTTCATATATTATTTAAAAAGAAAGTCTACTTAAAAATGATAAATAGAAGAGCTAAAAAGAAACTTCTCTGAAGAGGAAATGCAAATGGCCAACAGGCATATGAAAAAATGTTCAACATCACTTGTCATCAGGGAAATGCAAATCAAAACTACCATGAGATACCATCTTACACCAGTGAGAATGGCACATATTAAAAAAACTAGCAACAACAAATGTTGGCGAGCATGTGGAGAAAAAGGAACTCTTCTGCACTGCTGGTGGGAGTGCAAACTGGTCCAACCACTATGGAGAGCTGTGTGGAGATTTCTGGACCTACTAAACATAGAGCTTCCAGATGATACAGCAATTCCACTACTAGGTATTTACCTAAAGGACACAGAAACATCAATTCCAAAGAGCACCTGCACCCCTATGTTTATAGCAGCACTGTTTACAATAGCTAAGCTTTGGAAACAACCCAAATGCCCAAAAATAGATGACTGGATCAAGAAGATGTGGTACATATATACCATGGAATATTACTCAGCATTCAAAAAAGATAAACACATGCAATTTGCAGCAACATGGATGGCGCTGGAAGGGATCATGCTCAGCGAAATAAGCCAGAAAGAAAAAGAAAAATACCGGATGGTCTCACTCATAGCAGGAATCTAGAAAACTTAAATAAGGGACCAGGAAAATGAATAACTATATAAGAAAGTGAAAATCAAAATCAACAAACAACTATGAACCAGAGACACTCTATGGGTGGTAAGGGGCGGGGAGGGAAGGTACTGGGGTCAAAATAAGGGGATTGCAATTGTATGGGGAATATAAAAATAAAATTTATTTAAAAAAATAATAAAATAAAATAAAATAAATGATAAATAGAAGAAAAACTTTTTATCTGAAAATAAGGGTTGTTATGGTTCCTCATTGCAATCAATTAATTCATTAATCTGTTAAGTCAGCATTTATTGGAAAAATTATGAAACACCTTTTGTGATAAGATGATATTAAACCCAAGAACAGGCCCCAGCAGTGTGTGTGCCCCATGCTGACTGCCTGGGATGAGTGAACAGCATGGAAACATCACGGCGGCGCCCAGGACCAAGACTCTGTGGTCCTGCCTGCTGCTCAGGAGCTGTGTGTGTTAGCCCAGAGGTATCCCTGTCTCAGGCGCTGTCTGTAAAACAGGTTGAGAGGACCCCACCACCTTCAGGGGTCTTCCATACCAGCACAAAAGCTCTGGAAGTGCTTGCTTAGACTGTTCAACATTATTTTCTGCAATGATATTGATCTATGAGTTGTAACTTAAAAACAATTACAGGTTTTAAAAATTCTAAATATATTTTAAAAAACACAGCAAAAAGTTGAACCAAATCAATCAGAGCAGACTTGTGTTTGCAGCCTGATATCCTACGTCAAGTGCATGGGTGGGTTGCTTGACCATGAAGCCTGCAACAAATGCCCACATCCTTTGGACACCAGGCACGTGCAGGGAGGACATGCTGCCACTTTAACATAGGAAGCTACAAGCCCTGTTTCTCCAGACACTCCCTGAAACAACGTGGGGGATGTGAGCTCATCTCTGATATGGGACCGCTGTCTCACACAGCCGTCACAGGCTCTCCAGGACCAACCTTTTCAAACATGTTCACACAGGGGAAGGACAAGCCACTGCAAGAGAAAGACCATTCTTTGGCGAGGAAAGGCATTTTTACACAAAAGTAGAGTAACAGAAAGACAACAACTTATGTGACTGAGTTAAAGTTCCCAAGGCATTTTGCCATGTGCTATTCATTCAGTATTCACAATCAGTGGTTGGGAAGAAACTATTATTATGGTGAGATCTGCATGGCTACGTGATGTGCCAGAGGTCAAAAATCTGAGTAGTAGAGCCTGAACTTGAGCCCAGGTCTGACAGAGTCTGCACTCTTTATTCTATACCTCTGCATTCTATCACACTTGGCGATTCTGGGCAAATTCTTGTTACCTTGTTCTGGGCACAGATAACTTATCTTTCAATGACAGATAACTTATCTTTCTAAAGGATTTCAACACTAAAGTATTCCTTTTGAAACCAGAGAGATTTATTTTACCTGGCAAATAGGTACAGTGATAAATAGTTTAAAAGAGAAAAACTGCATAGATGATTATTGCAATTATACAAAGGATGTAAGAAAAAAATACCTATGTGCTACATATACCAGAGATAAAGTACACTCCAGATATAAGGTAAAGAATAGTGGTATTTCTAGTCCAATCCTTCAGCATTCCCAGAAGCCCCCTCCTTAACATTTTTGAGATTTACATTGTATGAAAGATCTCTAATGAACGGAACTCAGGGTTTCAAAGTTAGCAAGCCACACTATCTTCTCTAGCTGTGTCTCTTCCTCATATCCAAAGACTCACAACAACCCTGTGATCTTTGACTTATACCCAACCCTCTTAAACTGTGGCCCCTACAGTGCTACAAAATGATCTGACCTGATACTAAATGATTATGGCAATGTTGCAGAAAACAAGGTTAATATACAAAAGTTGATCTCTTTCCAGCAAAGAACAAGTGGACTTGGAAATTAAAAATACAATACCATTTACATTAGCACCCCTGAACATGAAAGAGTTAGGTATAAATCTAATAAAATATGAAAATCACAAAACTCTCAATAATGAAACCAAAGGCAAGAAAAATACAAGACGGGCCTCCCCGGTGGCGCAGTGGTTGATCGCTGGGTTACAAAGCTGCCTGTAGCCTCTGCTGCGCCAATTTGAACCCTGGCCGCCAGGTAAGGGTCCCACATGGCACGCAGACCTCTCCTGCCGCCTGCTGGTCCACTCAGCAGTGTATTTCATCAGTCTACCTGCTCTGCTCCCCACTCTGGCTCTGGTGAATCCTCTCACTCTCCCGCTTCTGACTGTACCCAGTGCTTGTATAAATAAATAAATAAATAAATAAATAAATAAATAAATAAATAAATAAATCTTTAAAAAAAAAAGAAAAATACAAGACTCCCATAATGAAGCCAAAAGAAAATAAATGGAGAAATATTCCATGTTCATGGATAGGAAAATTTAATATAATCAAGATTCTAGTCTTCCCGACTTGATCTATAGATGCTATGGAATCCTAATAAAAAACTCAGCAAGTTACTTTGTGGAAGTCACAGACTGATTCTAAAGTTTATAGGCAGAGGCAAAAAGATCCAGGATAGTCAACACAATATTGAAGAAAAGAACAAAGTTAAGAGAGCTGACACCACTGGGCTTCAAGACTTACCATAAAGCCACAGAAATCAAAACAGTGCAGTAAAGGTGAAATAATAGACAGCTTAAAAGACAAATAATAAAACATAATAGAGACCAGAAAGGGACCAACATAAATAGTCAACTGATCTATGACAAAAGAGCAAAGACAATTCAACGGGGCAAACATTGTCAACAGAAGGTGGTGGAACAACTGGGCATACACATCCCAAAACTGAATCCAGACACAGATCTTATACCTTTCTCAAAAATTAACCAAAAATGGATTACAGACCTAAATGTAAAAAGCAAAACCAAAAAACTCCTAGAGGATAACACAGGAAAAAAAAACACAGATTACCTCAGGTTTGATGATAACTTTTTAGATAAAATACAAAAGACACAAGCCATGAAAGAAAGAACCAACAAGGAGACCTCCCTGGTGGTGTAGGGTTCAAGTCTCAGCACTATCATGCTATTACTGCTGCAGTTTCCCGGGCCAGGGAGCTGACCCACATGGCGCAGCAGACCTCTACTGTCTCACCCGCTGTTCCCCTCAGCAGTGTATTTCAATTCATCTGTTCTGCTCACCACTCTGTCTCTGGTGAATCCTCTCACACCCCATCCCTACCTCTGGCATACACCCCAGTTCTTGTATGCATAAATAAAATAAACCTTTAACAACAACAACAACAAAAAAAAAAAAAACTACACACAGATGTCTCCAGAAGCTTTATTCATAATTGCCAAAACTTGGAAGTAACCAAGAAGTGCTTCAGGAGGTGAATGAATAAATAAACTGGTAAATTCAGATAACAGAATATTATTTGAAAGTAGAAAGAAATGAGCTCTGAAGCCATGAAAAGACATGAAGGAAACTTAAATTCATATTATTTAGTGAAAGAAGCCAATCTGAAAAGACAATATACTACATGATTCAAACTATATGACATTCTGGAAAAGGCAAAACTATGGAGATGATACACAAAAGTAGGGGCTGCCAGAAGTTGGAAGATTGGGAGGAATGGATAGGTGGCACCTGGAGGACACTTAGGGCAGTGGAACTGCTCTGTATAAGACTATAATGGTAGATAAATGTCATTATAAGTATGTCCAAACACATACAATGTACACCATCAGGAGTGACCCCTAAGGTAATCTGGGTGATGCTGAGGTGTCAACGTTGGCTTACTGATCGTGACTAATGTATCTTCCTGGTGGGGGATAGTGATGATGGGGGAGGCTGTGTGTAAATGTCCAACACTATTCTAAAATATAAAGTCTACTACTACCACACTAGTAAAAATGCCCCACTTGGGGGTCTGTGCACCCTGGATTGCTGGCAGCATGGGTCAAATGCTGACTCGCTTCCAATAACTGGTGAGTCATGTGTCCCGTTCACTTTCACATTTACAGCTGGAGGGGCCAGTCACCCACGTCCTGTCTTACTTTGTTTTCCTCCAAACTAAGCATAGAACTTGACATTTATTCCATTAAACTTAGTCTTGTTCGAGTCAGAAGGATACTTCTAGCCTGGGGAGACAGGATTCTCACCCCATCAGACATTTAGTGCCAACTTTCCTGGGGTGGCTTTCTAGAAAACTTCTAACACAAAAGGAGGAATGGAAACAGGATACTGGAGGTGAGAGAGGAGACTGTCCAACTCCAAGTGAACACAGAGGTATGGAGAACAAACTCAAGGTAACTCACCTGCCCCCTGCTTTAGCAGCTCAGCTGCCGAATTGGCCGACGTTTGGGGAGAACTTTCAACTATCTCCTCCAAGGGATCTAGAGGAAGAAGCAAGAAAACACAGCAATGAGTCCAGCGGGCCTGGAAAGAAGCAGCAGGACAAGGAGAGATGATTGTGGCTGATGCGCAGAGGGTGGCACACTTGGTCTGCAGAGCTGGGACCTCCTCCCGGGACCACAGTCTAGTCCAGAGAAACCAACATTACACTCAGAGGAAATGTTAGGGTGATGTGGTCCCACAAAATATCTTACTGATTTATGAATTAATTTACAATTAAATTGTAAATGGTAAATCACATTTCCTAAGTTAATGATCATTAACTTTATGAATTAGAATAAAATTATGTGAAATTAAGGCTGCTGAGGAAGTTGGGAAAGACTGTCAATTTACACTATTATCTGTGGGGTGGATTTTTTATTATCATGGATGTTTTCAAACAAACGTAAAGGTAAAAGCACACATTTCATCCAGCATCTAAGCTCAAGAATTCCAACATTCTGCTGATCTCATGGGATCATAAAAATGAAGAGTAAATGACCTTGAAAGTCTTGGTCTAGAATTTTGTATTTTTGAGCTAACCTTTGCTCCTCAGAAACCTTTCACCAAAGACCCTGATATTAAAATGTGGCTGGGGGCTACAGGTGCAGCAGGACTGCCCCTTCTTTCCCTGATTTGGGGAGGCTGTTCAGCCTTCCTTAGGGTTTGTCCACAAAGGACACAATAGAAAATACCTTGCAGTCTTATTTCCTCAAGTAGATCCCCAGCTGTGGTATGCCCAACACACTACAGACGATCCCACCCAGAGAGCCAGTGTGGCCTGAGGACCTGACAGCGTACCTCGGTCTGGAATGAGCAGTTTGCAGGGCAAAGCCAGGGGTGTGATGGAATGCTGACACACCAAAGCCGTCAGGCTCCCTGCAAAACAAATTAACAGCAAGCATTAGCACAGCTCGGAATACTGAGCTGCTCAGACAGTTTACCCTTTGAAAGGCAGCTCTGCCTGGAGAGGACGACCCTTATATATCTTAGCAACTAACATCTTCCATTGTTGTTGGACTTGGTGCAAAATGAAGCCACAAATTCAGCAAATATTGCAGGTGATTCTTTGCAGAGACACATCATTTCCAATATGTAAAACCATACAGGTTACTGAATCTGAAATTAGGAGGTCTGAGAGCAAGACAGATCCAAGTCTCGCCACACAGAAGTCTCTAAGGTGCTTCTAAAGGACTGCAGCAACGCAATGTGTCACGTGTCTGTGCCTCACCTGGTGAATTCTGCATTCTTCAGGATAGGCCTGCAAGGGTGGAAAGACTCAACTTACAGGGGAGGGACAACATGATGGTGGGGGTCCTGTCTTTCCCTTAATCCCTTAGGGATGGGAATGAGTCAGGTTCCAACCTTGTCAACACCCACCTGCCTGCCAGAACAGTATTTTGTTGACACCAGTCTCAGCATAGTGGTTTTGGTAAGTCTGGTTTCGAAAATGCTTTTTTGAGTAATTTCATATCCAGTTCACTTTAGATCCCTGATAGAGAGGAGCCTCAGAACTGGAGAACTGCACTTAAACACTAGGAGTGAAGCAGTGCCAGGCAACGGCCAGACTCTCAGGGAGCAGCCAGTGTGTGCAAAATACCAAGAGCAGGCTCTTGCCACTCACCAAAATAGGGTTCATTGGAGCAGCCTTTCAACCGTACTCCCTTTGGGGTACACTCAATCAGAAAGTGCCGAACAAGTTCACTGGCCAAATCTCCAACTGTATAAGAGAAGGAGAAAAAAGAGAAAAAACATTTTTTTTTTAATTTTTGAAGAATAAGGAAGGGGAGGAGACAGAGGGAGAGAGCGGCTGGAGCTGCCCTGAAAGGCCTCTCTGGACCAGGAATCTGACCACTGCAGAAGGTGTGTGCCACGAACCATCTGAGGAATGGCAGCTGGGCTCAGGACAGTCAACTGAGCACATGACACACCTTGGGGTCAAGGAGTCTTTGGGAAGAACCTCAGTCATTCTGCCAAGTATTCCCAGTGAAGGGAGGAATTAGTAGCTAAGAAAGAGGAACATCAATCTCCAACTCCTTCAGAGAGCAGAGTTTAGAAAAACCTGGGCTCACATGATGCCCAAGAATGAATCATTGAAGCGCTGAAGATGCCAGTCTTCTGGGTAAGACTTAGCCAGGACCTAAAGCAGGCATCAAGCCCCAATTGTGCAGAGCAGCCTTCCAGCACCCCGCTACTACATGGTACAGTTGTATTCTGGTCACCTTGGAACCCAAAGAGAAAGTGCATCACAGAAAACCACTGATTGTAGGAAAGTACAAACAACATAACAGAAGACAAGTCAGTCAGTACTGCATGTAACAAAACAGTAGACTTTTAGCCAGAGCTGCATCTCGCCCTGCATCCTCGAACACCTTTATGGGGCCTTGCCTGCCACGACTTCTAACATTCCTGATGCTGGAAACCTCCTGACACAGGATCCTCTGGAGTTTGGTTTGGTCCCCACACCTTGCCCCGAGTGCTCTCCCCAATGATGTCTATAAATAACAATGACAAAGCATTTCGCAGGAACAGTAAAACTGGATTGTGTAAAGACTGGATTGTGTAAAAGGCTGTATTGTACAAAAATGGGAAGCGAACACTTTGCCGTTCAGTTGTGGGAGGAAAATAATCCATGTCTCTGAAACTTTAGGGAAACAGAGTGTGGTCTGGATGCCAGTGGTGACAATTACCCAGGGCTACAGTGCAGACCCTGCTGCTGCCCAAACTCCCGACTACAAGAGTGGGTGGTAGCTCACAGGATTATTTCCTGATTCAGTCAGTCCCCTCTCGAATCTGTGTTTCAACTGTGAGCTCCAAACCCTTTATCCAGGAAGCCAGATAAGACTTCACCCAGAGGAGGCCTCAATGTTGTGTTTCCTGAAATCTGCTGTTCCAATAGCCTTTATTTTGTTATCTTCCTCTTAAGATTTGTGAGAGCCCACCACGGAGGCAGATGCCTGCCTGAGGGTAGGAAGAGTAGTACATCACCATCTGTATCTCCAAAAAGACTTTCTCTAATAGATAAATTCAGTGAATCCAAAGAGCCTGAGCGCAGCCATACAGCCGTTCCACTCACTCACGTCCAGCCCTGTCTCCAGACTCATTCATGTCCCCATCCTAAGACATTTCTCTGTTATAACCATCACTCACCGTGTCTTCAAATAAGGAGGAACGTCTGTATCCTCCCTAATCAGTCTGATTCAGCTCTTCCATCACAAAAGCCCCTCTTTCCACTCAAAGTGAGTTGCGTTTAGTTGCTTTGCTCACATTGGAATTCTGGATGCTTTAGAATTCCACCTTTGAAAGCTCACTGTTCTCCCCATTCTACACAAAGCCTTTTCTCCCAGGCAATACCTACATATTTGAGATCTGAGTCTCTTCCCAACTTCACCCCTGTCCTTTCCACTCAGACAACCACTACCTGTGAACAAATGAGCATCTATGTTTCCTGAAAACCCCACAGCATGCATGCCACCGGACGCCTGGAAAACCAAATCTCATGTCCCTCAAGGAATCAACTTCTGTGAGGTGGTGACATATGTGTTTGTTTCACAGTCACACTTAGTTGTACATGTAAGCATGGCAAACTTTCTGATTATGCTTATGTTTCATGACAAAGAGCATGAAAGACAGTAAGTAGAAAGCCTGACTATATCTATACATGATTCAACTAATATCTGGCCTGGTGCAAGTGTGCTAGAACAGGAGGATGAGGAGGAAGGCATTGCCCTTTTCCGTGAAAAGTGGTGCAGCGTGTTGAGCACAGTGCTGTGAAGCTGTCCGCAGCCTCTGCAGCACGGGTTCTATTCCCAGCCAGCCAGGGAGATTCCCACATGGCGTAGCAGACCTCTCCTGTCTCGCCCGCTACTCCCCTCAGCAGCGTATTTCGGTCTGTCTGCCTGTTCTGCTCCCAACTCTGTCTCTGGTGAATTCTCTCACCCCCCCACCCACTGCGTCTCTGTCCTGTGCCCCAGCTATTATATAAAAATAAAATAAAATAAAATAAATAAAATAAAATAAAAATAAATCTTTCTTTAAAAAAAAGTAATGATGGACGGACTCCAGACCTAACTCCAGAACAGTTTTTAAACCATCAAATACATTCATGGGTATAAGAATCATGTATATAGTGTACCTTTCATGTAAGGAAAAAACAAAAACTGAATAACTGATGCATTGTGTAAATAATCAGCAAGAACACACAGGGCTCCATTATCCATAGTTATCCACAGTTAGCATGGAGAAAGGAAGGTTCTATTTCGTAGACAGGATGCTCAATAAATTAAGAGTGAAATGGGTTACCTAATTAAATCAATAAAAAATAAAATTTACAAATAATTAATATTTAGTCTTCAACAAGGACATTTACTAAAATACGTCTGAGAAATTAAATTCTAAGAAAAACCCCTGAGAATTGTTGAAAGTCATCTGCTATCTCATTAGCATAAACACAAGCTCCCAAGCATCCTGCACAGATTAGTTCCTACCTTTCTTGTTCAGCTGCAGGACCGAAGGAGGCGGGGTGGCCACTTTCATGGCTAGGCCGTATGCGCCTCGGAAAGAGTGGCTGTCCCTGACGATGAAGGAGCCTGGCTCTTTGTCCTTTAGCATGGCGATGGCTGCAGGAAGGGGAGGAGAGAGGCATGAAGGTCTGCTGGAGCCACGAACATCTTTTTTTCCTATTGCCAACTGCAAAAAGGGATCTTCTCCCTCCTTTTGCAAACAAGGTCATTGGGAGCTGGCTGGGGTCCCCACTGAGCTGGAGGAACAACATGGGATAAAGTGTATGTTGAGTCCATGCAAGTGAAGAGCCCTTGGGAGGGTCTGTGAAGTTGGGGGTGGGTTCCTGACTGTGAACTATACAGAGATGCAGAAAGGCACTTCCCTTTAGGTCTTAGAAGTGCCAGGCACTTCCCTGCTACTGCCTCGCATGCAGGACTGCCTCTAAACCCACACCACAAGGGTTAAGTCTCAGCACAATGGAGCTATCAGCAGTCACTGCAGCACAAGTTCAACCCCCAGCCAGGGAGCTGACCCACAGGGTACAGCAGACCTCTCCTTTCTCACCTGCGGCTCCCCTCAGCAGTGTATTTCAGTGGATCTGCCTGTTCTGCTCCTCACTCTGTCTCTGGTGAATCTTCTCACCCCTCCTCACACCTCTGGCCTATACCCCAGTTCTTGGATGCATAAATAAAGTAAATCTTTAAAAAAATAAATAAACCCACAGTACCAGTGGAGCGCAACTGATGACCCACAGCCCAGGAAACCAAGGCCCTTTCACTACCCACCCAACCAGGAGCTGGAGGTAAGGTGGGAGGGGGGCACACCACACCTGCACAGCCCCGCGGTGTGCCACCTCTCTCCCTGAGTGACATTTTTCTTAGAGACTTCAGGGTGTATGCACTTCTAACAGAATAAAGGAAATAAGTTTTCAATCACATTTTCTGAAGACAGAGGAAATACTACCCAAAATATCTGAATATTTAATACAAATTCACCCAAGGAAATGGCAAAATTGTCACTTTAGGTGGCCCTCCCACCAGTGGCTCACATGGCCAGTTGTGTCCAGCTTCGACTGGACAGAGCTGGGACCTCTCTTGCATGTGGCTGCCATCGATGAATCAGGACTAATAGGTGCCCAAAGCTCAGCCCCTCCCCATCTCCCCTAGGTGAGGCTGGGGGCAGGTAGCCAATAATCCTGCTTTAAAACATCCCTTCCCCTCCCAGAATCTGGCTCCTCCATATTTCATGAAAAAAGTTGAGTTAAAAAGAATAAGTAGAAGGTTTAAATATATCTGTACATGATTAATACTGTGTTCACAAAAAAAGATAAAAAAGACAGGGTGATAAGTCCAAGTTTGTTGCTACCCAGGCACTGGCCAGAATTTTCTGTAACATGCATATATCTCAGTAAGTTTTATAGCTCTTTACCCTATATAGAAAAGGAGAAAAGCAGGCATTTCAAGTCTAAGGCAATAGAAGTTTAGTAATGGAAAATGCCACCTTTCTACAAAGCCAAAAACCTGTCAGGAACAAACAGGGTGCAGAGCATAGGCCAGGGAGGCAGGGGTCCTGTCCCTCCCAGTAACTGGAGATCTGCTGTGCTAGGCCCTCAGGTGCCCCTGTTGCAGCCCCAACCTTCAGGTGTGCAATCTGTTCAGCTATGGGATGAACAATCATTTTTCGAGGCCTTCCCCTCATCCCAAAGCAGGATGAAGCCCTGAGACAGAAGCTGGCAAACCCAAGATAAGGGAGGAAGGGGGCCAGGACACTAGATCTGTATAACCAGGAGGGAACACTGCCTGACCCCATGGGATGGAAGTCACCCCTACCTGCTTCCCCCAACCCAGGTCTGCAGCCAGGTCGTAGGTCCCACAGCTGCTGTGACACCAGCTAACTCTTCTCACAAGTATTTTCTAAATTTGGGATCAGAACACATTAATATTTTTTAAAACTCGGGGTCGGGTAGGAAGGAGATCACTTTCAGAAAGTTTTGTTTATTTTCGATTATGATTTATCGCAGTGCTTTTTTATTAATTTTTAATTTTTTTAAATATTTATTTCTGCATACAAGAACTGGGGTGTAGACCAGAGGTGTGGGGGGGTAAGAGGATTCACCAGAGAGAGTGGGGAGCAGAACAGGCAGATGTACTGAAATACACTGCTGAGGGGAGCAGCGGGTGAGGCAGGAGAGGTCTGCTGTGCCATGTGGGTTAGCTCTCTGGCCAGGGATCAAACTCCTGCTGCAGTGGCTGGTGACAGCTTGATAGCGCTGTGTCTTTAACCCCTCCGCCACCAGGGAGGTCTTCACAGAGCTTTTTTAAATTGTGATTTCACTTCACTAAGGTGAAAAGTACCCCTTGGGTGGACTGAAGCCCTTGGGGCCCACGTAGCCCAGCAGTGAGAGGGCCTGGTCAGTCTGACCCAAGCTCACCACCCAAGCCCAAGCTTTAAAAGTGAGGGCCACTTGGCCCCAGGGAGGGAGTCAGGTCTCCTAGGGCCAAGGAGTAGCGCTTGAAGAGAGTGCTAGACTCACTGTTGTATGAACAGAAATGAAGTGGGGAGGGGGGCCATGCTGGGCTGAGTGGCTCTCGCACACACAGCAGGTATGGTGACCCGGCTCTGTGCAGGGTGATCTCATTCTCCTCTGAAGGGGTCAGTGGCCACATTTCAATGATCTCTCTCCCTCGTGTCCAGTGCTTTCAAGGACAGTAGAGAGAAGCAGAGGACCTAGAGACCGCAACTAGAACAACTATATTTAATTTCTATTTGATTTAAGGCCCCTTTTCCACCTGAGGTTATTGCTATGCTGGCTCTAGAAGAATGCCTCCAAATTAATCTTGCCATAGTGATATGTGATCCATTGTGCTCCAAAGGAGGCTACCTGGGTATCTCTTCTTACTGCAACCCCCTGAAGTTTCATTGTGGTTTTTCTTAAAGAAAGGCACATCTCAGCGATTAAAACGAAGACAAAGGAAAAGCCCTGGGCAACCTTCTCCCATTTGGAGAAGTGCTGTAGAGTCTTCTATGTAAAGTACTGAGAAAATGGAGGAAGATACACTTTTAGAGTTCAGCTGAAAAATCAATACTCAACGCCTATCTTAGCTACTCTGAAGTGGGGTCCACCTAATAAAACCTTTTAAAATGTCTGATTGAGGGCCTCCCTAGTGGCATAGGGATTTAAGTCTCAGTGATATCAAGCTATCGGCAGCCATTGCAGCCTGAGTTTGATCCCCACATGGTACAGCAGACCTTTCCTGCCTCACCTGCTGCTTCCCTCAGAAGTATATTTCAGTCAATTTGCCTGTTCTGCTCCCCACTCTGTCTCTGGTGAATCCTCTCACCCCCATACCTCTGGCCTGTACCCAGCACTTGTATACATAATAAAAATAAATCTTAAAAAAAAAAAAGTGTGGCTGAGATTAGGCAAAATGACAACAGTAACTCCTACCAGCAGTGACTGCCTCCCACACAGCTCCCCTCCAGGGTCCCTAGAGGCTGGCTCTGTCATCTCCATCCTGCAAGGAATCGCCCGAGTGCACTACAACCCTAGAGGGACTGCTGCTGAGCAGAAGCCAGTGTTTAGTACCAGAAGGAGAGGCTGGTCCCGCCCATCACTCTGGTTTACAAGCCCTGCCAGCAGAACAGGAGAATCACACAGAATCTCCAAGCACCTCTCAGTGCCCAGAGGGACGGGGCACCAAGGCACTAACGCTAATGGCCACAGTTGTGATGATTCTTGGGACCAGGGCAGGGAGGGGAGGAGAAGGGAACATCGGCTGCACCAGGGCCCTCCATATGAAAAAGCCTGGCCACAAAGGCCAATTCAGGGAATCCAAAGACTGTCCAGGCTGTGGGATCCCCCACCCAATATAAGATAACAATAGGTTCATTGAGCTCATGGGAAAAAATGCACATTCTTGCCATTTTTATTATCTACTTCATTGAATTCAAGAATTTCAATGAGAACGCTGTATGCTGTACACCACTTTTTTCCTGCCACTTAATTATTCACATGCAGGCATTTTCGAGAAATGATCCTAAGAAAAGCACTGGGTGATTGTGTTCCAGAAGTTGAGGCAATGGGGTAGCCATAGGCTGCTCGCTGCCTGTTGGCGATGTATCACTCCTCACTGCTCTGAGTCATCTCCCTCCCTTTTCAGCCCAGGACCCATCGAGGGCCCCAGGGAATCTCATTTCTGGGTGTCTGGCCCAGGTTTTCCAACATCTCCTGCCACTCCATGTCATCCTCTCAGAGGGAAATCCCAGAATTTTGCCTTCACTCTGCATAAGTCGCTTCAGAGAACGACCCTGCAGCCTTGTCTCTCTGTCAAGGATGGCAGGTCCTGAGATCAGAGATCAGCAGGTGACCAGGGCCCTGTGAATTCTGCTGAAGGATTAACTGCTATTCTCCCGCGTGCTGCCTCGGGGGCCCACCACTCAAACACTTCCAGCTCCTTCTCAGCTTCTACTCATGGTCCAGTAAGAAACGACACACGCAAGAAGTAGCTGGTGAAGTCCACAAGAGCTCCTGTCATTAAATATTAGAGACCCACATCTTTCCCATATGGACAAACGCAGGTGTGGCAAAGTAATGGTCTCTCCTCCAGGCCTTCGGCCCCTGGGGCTCAGGGATAGTGGCAGGACAGGGAGACTGCAGGACTCTGGTCACAATTTGCGTAGCGCTGGTTATGTGGCTAGGCTGCGGCTGGACAAGCCTCCAGAAAGTACACCCTACACAGCCTGTACCGGTGGCCATGCCCATTCCTGACCAGTTTCCTCATTAGAACACAGCTTTTCCTATAAAATTTGAGGTCCAGCATTGCCCTGGAGACATGTGATTAAGTGCCTGTGTGGCGGTGCTGACGTCCCACCCTAGGGTGAAGCTGCACACAGGGGTTGTAAGGCCTGATCCTGCCCACGCACCTTGTTCTCTGGAGATATCTGCCTTGTACCAAAACTTGGATGTGTCTTGGACGAAGTTTACAGACAATTGCTTCTCACCTGCACTATCTGCAAGACAGAATTCAAAATTAATAAACTGTGAAGGTGTCTGGTTTACAACCTCTCACTTCCCGGGGAAGTAGAGTCCAAAGCCCCCTGGGAAGGTGGGGGTGATCTGGGGAGAGAACACAGTCTTCCAACATGGGAAATGACTGACCTAGAGCAGAACACAGACATTCAGCACTGTGCTCAGGGCTCTGCAACTCATTTCAACAATTCATAGAAAGATGAGAAGCAGACAGTAGGGTAGGCATTGCTCAGTGGATGCTGGTATCACTATTTCTTGTACATCTGAAATATTTCATAATCAAATTTAATTTTTTTTAATTTACTTTCAAAGAATGACTCTTAGTGGAAAAAAAAAAATAGAAGCTCCATAGATGTCTGCATTTTCCCTGTAGGAATGAATCTAATGTGGATACATGCAGAAATCGAGATAAAGTAGCAAAAAGACTGAGTTAGCACTTAGCTTTCCAATTCTTAAAATGGGAAAGACACCTTGTAGGCACCTCAACCAAACACAGCAACTGCACTCCTCACCATGTCCAGCTGTTAGTTCCAAGGACCCTTCCCCAACAAGTGACACAGAGGTGGTCTAATCTCCGAGACACACCTACCTGGAGAAGGTGCTGCTGCCTCTGGCGTCTTGCAAAAGTCTGGAAGGACACTTGGGAATGGGATGCTCATGGTGCTCCCACTGTGGGGGCTGGAGAAGCCACTGGAGGAGGGAGAGACTGATCCAAGAGAACGGTCTCCCTCTGAGGCCCGCTTCTTCTCAGGAAGGGGTGGCTGCCCAGGCAGTGTCAGCCCTTGGCTCTGCAGGACTGGACTGTGATGGCCGCTGTGTCCAGATGCCATTGTCAGAAAGTTGTGAGCTAGGAAACCGTTGTCGACTGCAGCTGCTGCCATCCTCGCTGTGCCGGATGTCTGGGGTGCCATGTGGGAATTGGCCATCAGGGGCCCTGTGTCGTCCCCAGGGAGAAGGCCACTTCCCATGGGGGCAGCACCAAAGTTGAGGAAGGCTTGATTACTTTGGAGGCTCAGGACTTCCGGCTGTTCAGCCAGGGGCAGCTCACGGCTGTGGAAAGAGTCCGGGAGCTCTGCAGGAGGGAAACGGGTCCGCCCAGCGACATCCGTGCCAGGGCTGGCCAACTCGCTAGTGCTGAGGACACCTCCTGCCTGCAGGCTGTTCCCCAGCAGGACCAGAGTCTCTTTGGAGCTGGCCTCCACCCAAGGATGCTCAGCTGAAGCAGGGCTGTTCAAAAGACAAAGTAATCATAAGAAAATGCCAAGACCCAGAAGACACCTCAAAATTGGCATTAGTTCTCCAGTATGGGGGAGACTGTAGGATATAGACATAGGGTACAAGACTTGCCTTGCAGCATGTGGCCCCATGCTGCCCCATCCCTCAAGGGGATCCCCTCCTTCAGGCCCCTCTGGGCTGTGAGCTCCCATCCTGCCCTCAGCCTGCCAGGCCTATTTCTTCCTCGATCTTCATCTGGCAAAGGTCCTTCCTTTCTTAAAGATGAAGTTCAAGCTCTGTTCTACACTTTGAAGTCTCCCAGCCCTATGCCCAGCACCCAGCTGGGGTCTGTGTACATAGGGGTTATGGGTGTTTTTTCTCTCTGGTCAAGCCACACCCAGCACATGCATCAAACAGGCACCATTATGTGTGATTTACTGCTTGTTTCTCCTCACAGCATCAATGGCTTTCCCCACTCTCCCTTTTCCTTCTTTTCCTGATGCCCGATGCAGTCAGATTTCAACCAGTGCTTGATGAATGAATCAGCTGATAAAGAGCTGCCACTAATAGAAGGCTGATACTTGTAATTCCAATGTTCACATTATTGGAATTATTCTACATTTAGGAATACAAAAAGACAAACCACCAGCTCACACACACATATTTCATTAGCAGATGCTTTGCTTATGTGATGCTGAGTCCTTAGTTAAGATGACTCCCCTATTTTTTAAGACAAAGGAGCCAGAATTAAGGGAGTTGACTGGAGACCAATGTGCCCAAACACAAATTAACCCTAGGAAAGCACCCCTCCCTGACAGGGGAGTGCAGTGAACATGGGTCCACCCAGTGCCAAGTTTTTGCAATATAGAAATGGGGCTTTTCTCTCTGCCAGGGGCCCCGTCTTTTTGTTCCCCCAATTCCAAGAAGGACCTTCCTGTGTTTTCACATATTCCCTATCCTTGTCCTCACACAAGCACAGAAGCAATATCCCCAAGAGCAGCACTGCCCTGCTCACACCTGCACCAGCACCCCAATCTGAGCCCTGGCAGAGACCCCTCCTCAGGAGGCCACTGAGCCTCAGGAGAGAAAGCCCTGGCCAGTCCCCCAGCACCCCTTTAGCCCCAGCTAGATGTCCGTAGCTGGCCAGGTCAGGTTGCCTCAGTATTTCAGAGTTACCACACTTGTATTGGTGTCTTCAGCCTAAAAATGGCGAAGGTATGCTCTGAGGAGCTTTTTATGCTTCCTGTGTCATCTGGAGAATAAACCTTCCATTTCTGGAACTCACATTCTAGGTCTGTAAGAGGAGCCCAGGTTAAGTTCAAAGGCATCAGCCTACCTGTCTCTTTGCTGTCCAGGGCTGTTGCTGGAGATGGCGCAGGAGGGCGTGAACGCCCGCTGATAGGAGGATGTCGTTGTCATGTCTGCCCTCAGTGTGGTGGATTTGGGTTCCACAGGGCTCTCTGACATCCCCACGGCTTGACTGAGAATCTCAGGGCAGCCTCGTGGTTCTGAAGCAGGGAAACAAGAGCAGAAAAAGGTAGGTTGTAGGAACCTAGTGTTTGTTTTCTATAAGGAAAGTGTCAACCACTGGAGATATCTGCTGCTGAAGGAGGTGATAGAGTCTACCCACTGTGGGTCACCCTTACCACTTTTTTAAAACTCAAGACACCTAACTTTAGCCACAAGCCCATAGTTTTCAACATGTCACCATGAGCAGATATGCCCAGTCACTATGGAAGCCCACAGGAGGCTGTGACAAGGCCATCCACCACCTGGAGACAAACGCATTCTGTTCACTCCCTTCCTGATGAGGCAGGCCATTCCTGTGTTAGAAAGGGCAGGGTCTTTTCTCTGTACACTGAACACCTGTAGGAGTATTCTCGCAGAAAAGAACCTCTTTCCACCAAGTGAAGGCCCCTCAATTTGTCTCAAGTTGTACCTGGGCTTACCCCGGGCCACATGTTTTCCCAGCAACATTCCCCATCAACACATCTCCAACACAGCCTGCACTGGAGAGCTCACCACTCCCCGTCTCCCCGCTCCCCGATGTGCAGAGATCACCCTAGCCTACACCTCATCACATGGGAAACAAGGGGCTGTGTGCCATGCAAACCAGCCTCCGTATGATGCCCAAGCCACACTGGTTCCCAACTCTCATAACACTTACGGATGCAATGTCCATTCTAGTTAGGGTTCAGTATCTCCAGTATTATAGGATATTTGTAAAACCTAGTCTTGTTTTTTTTAAACTAAGTTTTAGAATTGGGACAAGTCTAACATGGCCACCAAAATGATACAATGAGAAATATTCTTGACTTCCTTTGTTAAGCCAAGGGGAGGCTGGTAAAAGAATAATAGATTTAAAAGCTCCATGTCACTCATATTATTCAGTTCCAGGAAGGGAATGCACTGAGGCAAGTCACATCCAAAGCAGTTTCTCCTGCAGTCACTGACCCATTTGAGAACATGTACATTTGACACCGAAAATAAGTTCATATCGGGACTATGGAGTCCTACCATTCTGGGATGGAAAATGCAGAGAAAAAAACATTGAAATATAGGAGAATGATTAAAACTTCTAACATATATTTAATTGGAGTCCATGAAAGGGTGAAGAAATTGAATGAGGCAGAAGCAATACTGGAAAGATATTTACTGAGAACTTTCCAAAACAGAGTAAAGAAATCAAGTCACAAGTTATAAAAAAAATCTATGAAACCTAAACAGGAAAAACCAATTTTTTAACTACATAGAATCACTTAATAGTAAAGCTTAAGAAATCAAAAACAAAATCTAATAATAGCACTTTGTCTAGTCTGGGAGGAGGGTAAGAGCCAATTTCAGTGTTAAGTTTTTAAACACTTAAACTTTTAATTAAAGTCCAGTGCTAACGTTATATTTGTACACACCACACTGGGAGCCCCTGAGGACAGCTGCCTCCTGCTTCCAACTGCAAATGCTCCAAGATCACCTTGGGGCAGGGCTGGGAAAATGTCAGCATGCACAGCAAATTCACGTGATGCCTCTTGCTGTGACTCGCCTGGACATTCCTAGAGCAGTAATAGTCTTACGTTATGTGACTGCCTGCCCCTTATCCTATGTGACATTTATAGTGAATGTTCTAAATTGTCTACTGAATTAATTAAGCAACTAGATCATCTTCAAAGCTGGATAGATAAACATAGATGCTTGGTGTTCCAGATCATCCCTCTGCACTTTTACCTTTTGCTTTCTTTTTGGTGATAATACTTTCATACAAAGCAGAAAAAAGAAAACAGCATGTCATTCCATGCATGGCCCTGCCCTCTGGGAAGTGAGCATATTATCAGAATGATAAGATTCAAATTAGGATCACATCCAGAAGCCTGGGAGGTGGCAGCCTGGGAGTTTCTGAGAGACCTGCAAGAAGAATCATTTGTTTGGGGAGAGTTGGAAGGCTTCCTGGAGGAAGAGGCATTTGATGGAAGATTGGAAGGATGGGTGGGATTCTGATAAATCAAATGCTACAGATAAAACAATGTGCTATCTACCATCCAGAAGGCTCTGTGCCCCCAGTGCAGAAGCAGCCACCACTATTCACTGCTGGACCCCAAATGAGCTGGCAGCCAGGAGGAGTCCCAAGTCACTCATGCTATGAATTAATGAATGAGTTAGCAAAGGCTTAGAACACAATGTAGACATACAGCTCCAGGGCTGGCCAGTAGGAGCAAGAGGATGGAGGTGTAGATCTGTCCTTGGGGTCCCATGCCATGGGGCAGCACAGCACTTTGAAATCAGAAAAACTTTATCAACCAAATCTAGTGCCAACATTAGGGCTGCTTGAGCATTAAATGAATAATGCATGAGAGAGTTGGCACGCAGAGCAATAGGCAGCAACTACTTTCAAATCAGTGTCTCCTAACTAATGTTGCTCTGTGTGCTTCCCGGGCACTGACAGGGACTGCACATTCACAGAGTCCCAGTGCCTCAAGGAGCTCAGGAATCCTACACCACTCATGTAGCACCTGAGATTTCCACCAAACAAGAAGAAGCCCAAGGAAATTAAGATCCCACTTTGTTCCTCTTATCACATTGCCTGTTATAGAAAATAGCAAGAGCAGCGATTCCCATGAAAGTGGCTTTGTTTCTAATTCAGTTAGTGCCAACTCTAGGACATGTGGCTGAGTTTGTTCCCTCTGGTATGAAGCAGTCCCTTGCCCTAGGCAACAGGACTTAACCCTTTATCTGAAGAAGGGGGCCATGCAGGACCTCAGTGACAGACACAAGCAGGACACTCCTCCCATAGAACCTGCCCTTCTGTGAGCTCAAAGATTCAAGCTGCTAAAGCAGCACCCTCAGCTGGGGGCCTCTACAATTCACTTAGAAGAGATTAGGGTAATGACTGTCACTGCTGGGGATCAAGAGAGCATTTGATAGCACTTCTCCAGGACTGGAGAAGGATTTTGAAATGTTAGTTCAGGAACAAAAATGTGTGAATTGAGTTAGACTCAGAGATGGGAACCCCTTCTTTGTGGGTTAACCTCATCTGTAGAATGTGTTGGCCATAAGGGCAGGGAGTATTTGTTGTGGTTATTTTTTGTTCAAATAGCAAATTTGCTGTCCATGCTTTAACTAAAGGTGAAATTTCTGAAAGGAAATTTTTGGGCCAAAGATAGATAGGCCCAATTGCCTGGTTTTTTTTTTTTTTTTTTTTTTTTTGGTTTTTTTGCTTTTTTTTTTTAAACATTCTACTTTTTTTTTTTAAGATTTTATTTATTTTTGTATAGAACTGGGGTGTAGGCTAGAGGTGTGGGGGCAGGGTGAAAGGATTCATCAGAGACAGAATGAGGAGCAGAAGAGACGAATTTACTAAAATACACTGCTGAGGGGAGCAGTGGGTAAGATAGGAGAGGTCTGCTGTGCCATGTGGTTAGCTCCCTGTCCAGGGATCAAACCCAGGCCATAGCATTGGGCCCTCACGGTGGTGGTACTGAGATGTAACCCCTAGGCCACCAGGGAGGTCCCCCAATTGCCTGTTCTATGGGGTTCCGGTCTCCATTTCTTCCTGTATGTAGGAGTGTGATGATGGCAGCATGGAGCAGGGATTTCCAATTGTCAAGAGAGGCCTTGCAGACAACAATCCTTCTGAGTGAGCCTGTGCCAGGCGGGCTGTCCTCACCTTGAGCTTGTCACCATTTCAGACATCACACTGGGCAGACCCCTCCTAAGCCACATACACAAGGGGTTCCTAGTGGCCACACTGCTCTGAGCCATGGCTCCCATTAAAATGAACAGCCACTGCACAGGGTAAGGGCTCCAGGAGGACGCTGCTTTAGGCCCTGTGCACGTTGGAGTCCTGTGCCCAACCCTGCCCGAACCCTGCATCCAAGCTTTTTAGTTCCTGGCAAATTCTCACTTTGTTCTTTCCCACCATGTGCTCAGCTTCTTTTCCCTGCTAACAGCCGGGGAGGCCACACTATCCTCACTGTTTGGGAATCCACCCCTCTCGCTTTTCCCCATGCCTGAGGGTGTCCAGGGCCTGCGGCTCAAACTGGAACAGTGAGGCTCTCGGGCTCTGGCTCCTCCCTGCTTCCCTTCCTTCACTTCCCCTGCCCAGAACAAGGGTGAGGGAGGGTCACAAGCTGTTCTCCAGAAGGTCTATTTTTATGCTCTCATTCGAGTCGCAACGGAAGGTTCTGTGGGAAGCTGGATAACATTTGCTCTTTGCTCTCCACTATTTACATCACGTATAAGTTAACAGGAAGAAAGGAACCCATGCTGCTTGCTCACTGGCTCGTTATCCTCCAAAGCCTGGTGCCCAGCCAGACCTGACCCTACTCATGGGGGAACCACCAAACAGTCAAACTACAGGAAGAATTCAAACATCAAGGTCCTGCGGGGGATGAAAGTCTTACTTAGATAGATGTAAGAACTACAGCTTCCTAAACAAAAGTCAGGGCATGCGACATGAAAATATAAGTATTCCCCTGTCTTCCGACAGCTATTATCTTAAAAACCTCACACAGATAAACATTCATACATCCATTATCTTTAACAATTACAAGTTACCTTTAAACTTTTTATTACATCTTTAAGAAAAAAATCACATAAATTTAGCTGAGGTCAAGTTTATCCTCTTCTATCAGTGAGGAAACTTGAGTTTTGTATTTAACTATTTAACTACCTAAAAAGTCTCAATCTTTACCCCATAATAAACAGGCATATTCACAATAAACTTTTAAAAATGAGAGTAACTAAATCTATTCATCTATCTATCCATCTGTCTGTCTATCATCTACCTGATACCTCCCTTCCTCTTGGTCACACTCAGGGATTACGTAGGTAACTAGAAGTCACCTTTTCTGCCATTTGAGAGAATTCTGCAAAATGGAACACTGACAAATCTTTTGTCTCTTTTTTCATTATGGTTCTAGACATTAAATTTGGAGAAGCTGAGGGGCCTCCCCGGTGGCGCAGCAGTTGAGCGCTGGGCTGCGAAGCTGCCCACAGCCTCTGCAGCGCCGGTTCA